CGTAGGATTTCCTAATCTGCATCTTAACTATCCCATGACAGGATTGCATGAAAGACATGAAAATTGCCAATTTGGTAATTGAACTGACTTCTCTGGTGTGTGATTTAGGTATTTTGTTTTCACTGTGCAAATAAATATTAAGTCAGTGTCACGTTAACATTACTAAAGCTACTTGATCAAGAATATTTGTAACTTACCAAAATTAAGTTAGTTTTAAATTACTTTTTTTAATTAAATGAACTTACACTTACAGTGTATTTATTTTCCTGTATTGTATGACCAGATCCTTACCAATATACAGCCCTAATGTATTTAGGTGTTTACATTGCAGACAAATAAAAATAAGAAGACAGACGGTTTAATGTGCAGGACTGAAAGGCTGTCTGAGAGCGTGTCACTTATCCTTGGTTTCCTGTGGAAGAGCCTCCTGTGGAAGAGCCTCCTTTACTGTTTGAAACGTGAGCAGCTGAGCCACCTACGGCACCCACACTGATTTGGAATCTCTCAGGAACTCCCACATGTGGTGTGGGCTGTTATGCACAGCGAGTATCTGTCTGCTAAAAGTAGAATGTGATTGGAAGCAGTGTTTCATGGCTCGCAGTTTTAATAGTGTATGTTTAATTGAGCCTTTTCATCTCAAAGGCTTCATGTAAATGCACTTATTGTTTATAGTTGCAGCTTTAGTGTTTATCTTGCAGCTTTGTCTGTACTGATGTGAGGTAGAACCTACAGTTTCCTTTGTATCCAGTCTTTGCAAATCCTGCATATTGATGATACCATGTTAACAACAGAATGTCATCAGCATTACAAAGCAATGCTCTGTCTCAGGGAGCTACATGAGCTGTAACAACATGCAAAGACTTAATTTTCTTATAAATAGGACATTTCTTCTAGTTTCATGTGTTAATGTGAGAAAGGTTCCATCAGAACTGTGTGGACAGAATCAATCATGTGACTTAAATAATAAACTTAATAAAAAAGTACTTCCACCTCCTAAGAGCGCTAACTATTTTAAGGCAAAAACCGCCTCAAGTGAGATTAAAAACTTTTTAAAATTGTTTTTCCATTTCCATCAACCTTTCTAATGCAATACTTCAAAATGGTGGACTAATCTGTCTCTCCAATAGAAGACTAGCATTTACTCAACAATAGAAGAAGAATAGAAAAGCAAACACACTCCAGCAGCTCTGCTTGACTACTTACTTCATCTCTCTTTTCACTGAACATTAATTTATACATTCAAATTTAACAAATGTCAATTCTTGCTTTTCATAAACATAATACAAATATTAACTTGATACTAAAAGGCTTGCTGCTTCTGATAGATTTGATAGATTAGTCTGTATGAGTTGTTTTTAAGATTACACTAAAGACTAACGGTTTTCCTAGTCGGCCAGTAGTCGTTAGATAAAGCCAATAGTCGAGTAGTTGTTGCACATTTGATATTAGTTACTTTTCTGAATAATTTGAACAGCTGCCTGCTAAATGCTAACAGAAAAAGTAGTTATGATTCTGAATGTGTTAGAACAGCAAGGAGACTGAACACTTAGTTCATTTATTTCAACACAGTGTAACAAAACACAGAATGAATAACTTCACTAGAACAAATACTGACGGACTTATTAATACGATGTATGATATTGTTAACAGTTACTTACAAATTGACTCGCTACAAACTGGCTCCTCTTCCTCCGTTTCATGCCTGTCCCTGCCTAAACCCACCATCTTCATCCCCAGAGTCAGAGTCCCGGTCTCTGTTGGTGCGCTTCACTCATTCTGGCAGTATTCCCAGCTGGGTCCTCTGCTCCTACGCTATTAGTGTTAAAACTCCCCCTGTCCTTTTGAGCTCCCAGTCTAGGTACAGTCAGCTAATAGGACTGCTAACTAGCTACTGAGACCAGCTAGTACAGTTAGCTATGCTAACAGTGCACTGGTAAGTGACAAGAAAACATCCATGTTGCAACAATACCCTGATGCTTTCATCCCGGTGACAAGTCGCACCTCCAGAATGGAGTTTAATGTTTTTCTATGATCAGAATTAGGTCGACTTTTGGGGGGCAGCCTAGAGATCTGTGTTTCCCAAAGTCCAAGATGATGTCCTCAAATGTCTTGTTTTGTCCACAACCCAAAGACATTCAGTTTACTGTTTAGAGGACTAAAGAAGGCAGAACATATTCTCATCTGAAATCAGATATTTTGGACATTCTTTCTTAAAAATGGACTTGAAGCGATTGATTTTCAAAAATAGTTGGTGATTATTCAACTAATTGTTGCAGCTCTATTTTGTGGTCACCAGTTTCTCCACACGCTTGGAGCTGGAAGGTGAGGCAAGGGGGTTGTAATCT